ATAACCCAAATGACCAGCCCCCACAGTATATCTCCTGAATCATATCACTGCAGCTATGGACCCAAATTCTATTGCCTATCATGGGGAGTGAAAAACCACTACAATTGATATCTTCTCCTCTACCAAGTTAAAACTTCTTACCACTTGCTGAAAATTTAAAATATGCACATAAAAGAGAAATGCAGTCACTTTCACTCCTTTTACACTTTGAAAATTTTATAACTATTTTGTGAAATATATACACATTTGTAAATTCCCAAGTTCAAATAATAATATAATGTTCAAAGGTAAAGTAAGTATAGCAACATATTACAGAAAGTATCAAGGCTCCAACTACAGTTTCAAAGAAATTCTGCAGTTAAAAATAATAAATCAACACCATTATCAGCAAACCCTTCCTTGGTTTGTATCAACTAAAGTACTAAGCCTTTCCTCGGTTTGTATCAACTAAATTACTAATTTTTAAACTATAGTTTAATCACATTATATAAACCATGTCTGTAAAATAAAATGCACATCAAATATGTTTCCTCTTTAATCCCAACTTTGATGGCAAACACATTAAGTGTAACTATACAAGGCTATTAACTCATGAATATCTAAATTAAATATTAAGAAGTAAAAACTATATTTATTTTGTATATTTATTTCCTTTCCAAATGTGCTACATAATAAATATTGAAAAGAAAATTTTCAAAGGAAGTCTTTGCTAAGTGTACCAATTACATTTAGACTTCATACTTATTCACTGAATCTTTTAGATACTAGGAAAACAGATACATCATTATTTTAAGTAATATATTAACATATTAAATTTGACGGTCTACAAAAAGTATTTTATAAGCATGAACTATGTATATTAAACGGAAATCTGAATACTAGACTCCAGAATTATCACAACAGCTGTAAAGATATCTGCATATAAAATCAAACCATAAAAAAAGAATAAAAAGTTTTAGTTTTTAGAAAATCTAACTGTAAGGATACAAATCAGTATATTTTATACATATTGTGATTACAAACTTTATTATTAGTTTAGAATGTCTGCAACATATTAAGCTCATGTCTATTAATAAAATAAAGAAATTATATTTTTAAAATACTTTTTATTTGGATAACAAAATTTTTAAGTAAATACTGTTTCGACAAACAATTGCTATGGGCCAGTGCAGTGACTCATGCTGTAATCCCAGAACTTTGGGAGGCCAAGGCAAGAGAATGCTTGAGTGCAGGAGTGAGCTATGATCTGCCACTGCACTCCAACCTGGGTGACAGGTTGTCTCTAAAAGGAAAAATCCTGTCTTTAAAAATATTAAAAAATTGCCATGATTTTATATCGCAGAAAAAAATATATATTTTCAAAAAAAAATTCAGGAGAGAGTCTAGTAGAACAGTCTGACCAGACATGTGTCCTAGAAAATGAACATAGAATATAGTGCATTTATGAGTTAATATAAATAACCTTGACAGCTTGAAACATTATATTTTCATGGCATCATATTCTCTATGCTTGCAAATGACAAATTATGATTATTTTTCTTTAAATGTATTGGCTTTTTAAATTTTAGAAGGCTATATACTTCTGTTCAGAAAAAAAAGCTTTTGTTAGACACCATTTTTCAACTTCAATTTTTATTCCAACTTGTATAATGCAAAAGCATAAACCTAAAACAAAACTAAAAGGTAATGAGCCAGAAAATGGATATTAACCAAAGTTAATCAAAATATTCACAGAAAATAATCTGCACAGAACTAACTTCTTGATAAGGAAATTAGCACAACAAATATTTCTTCTAGCCCCAAACATTCCTTGGTTAGGTTTCATACAAGATTTCAGATCTCCTAAAATTAAGCCATTAATACCTTTCTTTTAAGTGTCATAAATATTGAATTACATTAATTAAAATTTAGTTCTTGAATCTACTAATTTATATTCCTCAAGCTTTTGCCCTCTCTCTGTTCCTTTCCCCTCCTTGAAACCTCATGCTGATATTTGGACAAAGTAGATTATGATTGCACTACCAGGGAATTCCATTTGGAAAAAAAGTCTGCAGAATACTAAGGAAGGAAGTATAATATAAGTTCAGGGGTGGGAGAATGTTTCCCTGCACTACAGAAAGTTGAGGGGTGTAAGGGTTCCTTCAACAATGCATTACATTTAAGAAGTAAGTTGAGAGCAGGCTAGCCGAGTAAATAAATTCAAATAAAACAAACTGTACAAAGAGAATTTTTGCTTTTTCTGTATGTCAGGAAGAGTAGCAGGAGGAAGCAAGTGGTTAAACAGAGCCATGAAGTACAAGCACTGAAAATAAATACAGCCTTAGCTTGTCTTGACCACAGCATGCACATTGAGCTCCACAGTACATAATATTCATTTGGCTTCAACTCCTTCATATAAAGAAGTGGGGGAAATTAAAACATGCTTCACTATAATTTCCACACAACAGTCATAGTTATGCTGGTAGTAATAAAAAAAATGTCACTGGCATTAACTGTAAATGGGTTGGAAGGCATTTTAATGGAGGAATGAAAATGACCTAAACCTGTACTTCAAGAAAGTTTTTTTAAAAAAATCTATATCATTCTTCCTTATGGCAGCTCTTCAGATACTCTCTACTCTCCTCCAAGAAATATAAAGCCCAAGTGCCTCCCGAGAATATAATTTTTCAATGTATTATAGTTTAGTATGTTCAATGTCTTTTTAAAAATATAGAATCCAAAACTAAACAGATTATTTCCTGGGTGTTTGATTTGTACAGAATTAATGGGCTTAAAGCTTTGCTGGACTGATATAATTTACTCTGGTAAAATAGTATTCTGGTAAATATCTGGAAAAACTCTGTGGCAAATACTCTAATAAAATAATACTCTGGTAGCTTAAGATGTTAAACAATCATATTATTCTATTTTATTATATTGAATATAAACTTAAATAAAATCCCTAGACTTTCTCTGACCCCAACAATCAACTTCCAAGAAAATTTACTCTCACTCATATATACGGTGTTTTTTATTTTTTTACTTAAAAAATAATATTAATGAAAATTTGAGAAAAGTGGGGAACAGAAGCCATAACTGACAATATGGTATATTTATTTCCAGCAAATTTTGATTTCATAATATAGTCATATTGAGAAAAAATAATATCCCATTTATATGGCCATCCTTCCCAGATCCAAGAAATATTATATTTAATATTTTGTATAATACCTTCCTAGAACCAAGAAATATTTTATTTACTATTCTATATGATAGAATCTGACACATCACTCTGTCTCCTCACGGTTGTTATCACTGGATTTTTTATTTGGTTACTTCTTCCTCGTTTATTTCACCTTATTAGAATGTACAGACCCCAAACATATAGGCTCTGCTGACCTTCATTCCCTTGGGACCTCACCTAGTTCAACCGTTAAAATTAATTCTATCTATTTGCTGACAATTCTCAAAATTACATCTCTAGCCCAGACCTCTCTCCTGAATTCTGGGCTCATATGTATAATGTATATAGACACACACACACACACAAACTTCCAGTACATACTCACTGCATACACATATGTCTGTTTATTCCACGTGTCCAAAATCAAATTCTGGACTCTATTACCCCACCAACCTTCCTCAGTCAGAAACCCACTCATCTCAATTGATGACCAATCCATCCCAAGGCAGTCATCTTTGACTCCTCTTTTTCTCTTACACTCCACACCCATTAATTCCATCAGCACATTTTATTGTTTTTGTCTTAAAAAATATATCCAGAATCTGACCAACTTCTCACCATCCTGCTACCATCCTGGCCAAGCTTTCACCAACTCTCACCTGCTTTATTGCAGTAGCCTCCAAACAAGTCTCCCTGCTTCTGTCTTTCCCCCAACCCCCATTATAATCGAGTCTCATTATCTCTGAGTGATCTCTTTAAACATAAGGCAAGTCACTTCATAACCCTGCAATGGCTCTGTCTCCCTCAAGAGTAAAAACCAAAATTCTTTCTGTGGCCCCTTGTTCCTTTCTGACCTTCTCTTGCTACTTTCTCCTCTGCTTATTCTCACTCAAGTCTCTGTATTTTCTAAATGTTCTTCAATAAGGTACTTTTTTTATTAATAAAAAGTTTTAAATGATAAAACTACAAAAAGTAATCTAATCTACCATTTTACCCAAATGCTTCCACTACTAGAACAGGATTGAATAACATGTCTAAAAAGAAAAACTAAGTAAATCTATGACAAGACTTTACGGTGCCCTCAATGCCTACATGCCTAATGAAGATGTTGATAAACACAGTTCTCAAAAAACCAAAGGGTATGGTGAAATAGCACAAGTTCTGGGTTTGGGATTGAAATATATTTCTTAAATCTTTTATTACTTACTGTGATTTTTTGACCAAGTCACTATTCTCTCTGATTCAATTTTCCTCTGTAAAAATGAAGCGATCAATCTGTAAAACTAACAAACTTGGTGTTCTACAACAGGAACACCTCTACATAGTTACCAAAAACACACCTAGTAAGGCTGACTTATTCCTAAGAACGTTATTGAACATTCTAGATTAATCTGCATATACAAAAGAATGACAGAAAAGAAACCAAAATACCAAAAATGTTTGGAGCCTGGTTGCGGATTGAGTTTTATATAATTTCCAAAACCACTATCTGGGAGATTGTCGTGGGTACCCTACTAAGAATAAACAGAGGGGTGGGGTGGTTCACTCTCTAGGAATCACAAACTTCATGTTCTCAAAAAGAACACAGATTTTAAATAGTCAGACTGTATAGGTATCATCACTCAGGGTTGGGGGCGGATGGCTCTACATGACTTGGGGTGGCGGGGGAATGGGGAGAGATGGAGAAAATCTTCTATCAGGATCTCCTGGGGAACTGCTCCCGGCTGAAACAAACCACCAGTTAGGACGAATCGCCTTTGATGTCAAAGTTGGGAAGCTAGATTGTTCCTCAGCGGATCGGTCCTAACAATTTTGTTACCCAACCCGAAACACTCACCGGGTCTACTGGGCTGCAAGCCCTTAACAGTTGGAAACAAGTGACCCAGACCCAACAGAGTCAGACAAATCACTAGGTGGCCATCTGCGCCTGAGACAATTGCTAGAGAAACACGACAAGATACAGCTTCACCCCATCAACGTTTTCCGGGTGCCGGCCAAGGCGCTCCAGGGGCGTGGTTATGTGAGCGACGCACGGAAGGGGCGGGTCAGAAACAACCGTACCGAGGAGCACCCAAGGGCGCATGCGTGCTATGCGGCACGGGCTCTGGGAAGGTGGGGCTATGGCAGCTGCTCGGGACCCTCCGGAAGTATCGCTGAGAGAAGCCACCCAGCGAAAATTGCTGAAGTTTTCCGAGCTGAGAGGTATCAGAGAAGAAACCTGAGTTCTCCCGGGCAATGGAGAGGGAGGGTGCGTGCCAGCAGTTTTGTTGGACTGTCACTTCCCGTCTGCTCATCTGCAGGCCTGTGACTGGCTCAAAAGTAGCTAGCTAATAATCCTTTTGAGTTTTTTATTCTTCTCACTGTCCCTGCTTGACGTTATGCTTGTTGCTTACTTTATTCTTAGTAGTGTAGATATTAAATAAGGGCGGAGGAAGAAGACTAAAGAAAATCTGACTAGTGAAGTTATGCATTGGTTAGCTCGTTAATAAAAGTTACTTTAAGTAACTGTAAAAGATCTGAAGCATAGTATTTAGACCTTTCTGAGTAGATCCCAACCCCCATCTGCTTCACGGTTTACATTACCTTCACCTACTCCTGTAATGTAAGCACTCGTTGAGGGAGCAACAGAACATGGAGGAATTATGGATTAAAAATTAAAAGGGAGAAATTTGTCATCAAAAAATTGGCTATGCCACTTAATCCCTGTACAACTGTCTATTGTACAAAGTGATTAGACTTTTGATGCAGGGACTAACAAATACTGGGACTCATACTTGGATAACAGTAAAATGTTCACGACTATTAGATTCTAGCTGACAAGTTCTGTTTGTTAACTAATTAAAACACTTAATCATTTTGTTTATCAATAAAGAGATTCCAACCGACTACTAAAAGTGCAGACTGTCTTTTAAAGAGGTCATTAGAGAGTTGGGACCTTCTCAGAATTTTATATTATATTCTAACAGCCTATGTAAGTTTGCATGGTTCATCTTAAAGTAATAGAAATTAAAGTACCTACATTTTTAAATAGCAACATTGATGGAATGGATCTTTGGGTTGTGTCTTTCTTAATCACCTAACACTAAACGACCCTGATATATAAGCATTGATTTGCAAAACTGGTAATAGTCTTTGGCAAGTGAAATTAGCTCTCTTAATCAAGAAAAATTGTATCTTTCAGAATTTATAAATAAATGGGATTGTAGACCATAAAAGGAGGGAATGATCAAAAGAGAGTGAAAAATAAAAAGAACTTGGGAGCAGTCCTTATTATAACTATTTTGAATCATACTAATGCACCACTAATTATTCCCTAGCTCTCAAAAGCCAAAGATACATTTGAAGATCATAATAAATGTTATCTTCTTTTTTGTCTTTCTAAATAGGCAAACCTGTGACAGCTAGAAAATTCTGATAATTTTTGTTGTCATTTCTTTGCTTTTTCCAAATAGGCAAAGTGGTAGCACCTGGAGAATTCTGGGATATAGTTGCAATAACAGCAGCTGATGAAAAACAGGAACTTGCTTACAATCAACAGCTGTCTAAAAAGCTGAAAAGAAAGGAGTTACCCCTTGGAGTTCAATATCACGTTTTTGTAGATCCTGCTGGAGCCAAAATTGGTACGCGCTTTATGGTCAGGTTTATAATATATACCTAAGCAGAATAATCATTGAAGAAAAGCTTTTCTGTGGCTTACAGTTTACAAGCTGCATATTTCTACCTACAGCTTTACATACTTGAAAATTTGTAGAACAGGGAATATCAACTCTTCTTACCCATTATGACTTACCTTGAACAACTTCTAGAATGTTACTTAAAAGATAATTTTTTTAGTTTTAATGAAATTTACACTACTCAGGTAGGAATATTCTTTTGGATCTTATCAGTGGAGCCCTTAAAGTCCTCCCAGCTCTACAGTTTTTCCAGCAATTTACATGAAGAAAGCAAATGGGGGAAATGGGGGAAAAATACTCCTGGCCTTTTGGGGATATAATGCAGAATGCAAAATAACACTGTCACATGGTTTAAATATCATTAAATGTATATTTGAAAACCCTAATTTAGTTCAACTTTCCCCTTTGACCTTTCATTACAAAGAGAAATAAATGCTCTTTTTCTGAAGGCTGTAACCTATGTGCTTCAAGGTGCTTTCTACTAAAAGTTGAAGCACCTTGATACCAGAGATAGGATATCTGCATATGACATTAGCGTTATTCTAATTATCGAATGTTATTTTTATTTTATCCTGGCAACTATGAGGTCAATACTCTTATTATTTCCATAGATGAGAATCTGAGGTACCCAGAGTTAAGTAACTGGCCCAGGATAACTAATGTGGTAGTTATATTTAATATATATATATTTTTTTGTAATCCAAGTTCTAAAAATCTCATTTCAAAAGGAACTCTAATTTGTGTTCCCAAATGATTTTGTCATTTGGGAGAATTAGTTAAATGGACTTTGTGATTTGTAACTCTGTATGAATGTTTATACTTATCAGTCTTCTAGTGTTGCAGATTTTGTAATTTATTCTTTCTTATAATTACTATTTTGGGGAGAAATAGTAAACCCTCATCATTTATTACTGAGGGTTGCTGTCTGGGTTTCGTTGCTAATTTATTGATTGGGGTTTACTATGAGATGATTTTAATTTTGTTCTGTTGGCAATACCTTTGGTATCTGTCTATTTAATTATTGCTGAAAGCCAAATCTTTAAAGTTATATAACACCTAAATTTACCGTCATGACACTTTTAGCAGGTTTCTATGAAATAAATTGTGCTTTTTAACTTTATTTTTAAGGAAATGGAGGATCAACACTTTGTGCCCTTCAATGTTTGGAAAAGCTATATAGAGATAAATGGAATTCTTTTACCATCCTATTAATTCACTCTGGTAAAGTTATAATTTACTAATTTACATTTTCTTTTGAGTATTCCACCTTTAATACTTTAGAGACTTTTTTCTTTCTTGCAAATACTTTGCTTCTATTTTTTTAAAAAATCTTTGAAGTTATTCTGCTTTGAAAACAAATATTTCCTGATTTTCATGATTTTTGTAGATTGTAAGTAGTATAGTGACTTTCACAAATTTTACCCTTAAAATTGTAGATCACATATATCATCAACTTTTTATGAATATTGTTTTGTTTTTGTATGTACAGAAAATTATTTTCCTAAGACAGGACTCATTCAAATATGAATCGTTTTCAGGAATGCTTTAGTGGGGATTTTTCTTTTAATTTTAATTTTACGTTCCAGAATACATGTGCAGGTTTGTTGCATAGGTAAACGTGTGTCATGGTTGTTATTAAGCCTAGCATGTGTTAGCTATTTTTCCTAACGCTCTTCCTCCCTTAGTGGAGATTCTTGCTTTGGGAGAAGGCTGATTTAACACTATCATTACTTGACTTTTCCTGGTACTTTCTATCTTGCATTTTTGTGTGATTATTGGTAGCCAAAGGCCACAATGTTTAAAAATAAAAGGGAAATGTGACAAGATAAGGAGTGGACAAGTACATATATAAGGGAAAAATCACACAAAGGAAGACATTTTAAAACAGAAAACTAGGAAGGACATAGTCTCAGAATAAAGATAGCCTTTTAAATTGAATACATTTAGTTGTATGAAAATTTTTGTTACATGAAAACCTTTGTTGTTCTTCTCTATATGTTAAGGGGCTAATGAAAACTGTCATGAATTGACATCAGTCCAGGGACAGGTGTTTTAGAATCATTCTATGGCTTCCGAGGCACTTTCTAACTCTTATTATTTACATATAAAACGGTGATTCTTTGTAAACATGATGTCAAAGTAGAGCATCCAAGTTCTGGTTTTAAGACTAAAGATTTGTAAAAAGATCACATTGACAGTTTTATTTAAGAGAACTATTATTATCAGTTTAGTAAAAATTAAATTACATATCAGGAAATGCATAGTTAGATAATTGTTTTTATTTTTATTTTTTTGGAAATAGATAATTCTTAGTGCTAAATTTTACTATTGGCTGGTCTTTGGAAAAAGAAAAAAATCAAAAGTTATTAGCTCTCTTTTGTTGAACAATGTACCATGTGCCAAGTGCTTTGCATATATTATTGATCTTCAGTAATAAATTAATCTTAACTTACTAAGACATTTTTACTTTATAAACTTTAATTTTTTATAACTTTTGACTCTATTATAATAACACTTAGCTTGACACACAAACACTATACAGCTGAACAAAAATATCTTCTTTATATGATTAGGGTTTATTTTGTTGTTTTTATTTTCACTTTTTAAAACTTTTGGTTAGAAAGGAAGACACAAACACATTAGCCTAGGCTGACACTGGGTCAGAATCATCAGTATCACTGTCTTCTACCTCTATTGCCCTATTAGAGTTCAGGAGCTGTCATCTCCTATGATAACAATGCCTTCTTCTGGAATATTTCCAGAAGGACCTGCCTGGGTGACAGAGTGAGACTCGATCTCAAAAAAAAAAAAAAAAAGTAGATACAACATCATGTTTTGGCCCCTGTCCTTTTTATTTGTTGTACATTTAATTCAAAACATTTCGTAGGCTCTGCAGTATACTTAATTTTTTTCCTGACCTAGAATTTTTTAAATTGTGTTATGTCAAATGTCAACAAGAGACTTTTTCTTTGAATTTTTAATCTAGAGTTCATTATTCTTTCTTGATTTACACTAACACATGGTATATATTAAATATCTTTAGAGGTATTTTGATTTGTAACTGATGCCCTGGGGTTTGAAAATTTACAAACAATACCACAGTTTTTAAATGGTTATTATGTTTTAATTTTATAGGTGGCTACAGTCAACGTCTTCCAAATGCAAGTGCTCTGGGAAAAATTTTCACTGCTTTACCTCTTGGTAACCCAGTTTATCAAATGCTAGAATTAAAACTAGCCATGTACATTGATTTCCCCTCACATATGAGTCCTGGAATTCTAGTTACCTGTGCAGATGATATTGAACTGTATAGTATTGGAGAATTTGAGTTTATTAGATTTGACAAACCTGGCTTTACTGCTTTAGCTCATCCTTCTAGTTTGACAATAGGTACCACACATGGAGTATTTGTCTTAGAGCCTTTTGATGATTTAAAACACAGAGACCTTGAATACAGGTCTTGCCATCGTTTCCTTCATAAGCCCAGCATAGAAAAGATGTATCAGTTTAATGCTGTGTGTAGATCTGGACATTTTTGTCAACAGGACTTTGCTGGGGGTGACATTGCCAATCTTAAATTAGACTCTGACTGTGTCTATACAGATAGCCTATTTTATATGGATCATAAATCAGCAAAAATGTTACTTGCTTTTTATGAAGAAATAGGCACACTGGGCTGTGAAATAGATGCCTATGGTGACTTTCTACAGGCTTTGGGACCTGGAGCAACTGTGGAGTACACCAGAAATACATCAAATGTCATTAAAGAAGAGTCAGAGTTGGTAGAAATGAGGCAGAGAATATTTCATCTTCTTAAAGGAACATCACTAAATGTTGTTGTTCTTAATAACTCCAAATTTTATCACATTGGAACAACTGAAGAATATTTGTTTTACTTTACCTCCGATAACAGTTTAAAGTCGGAACTTGGCTTACAGTCCATAACTTTTAGTATCTTTCCAGACACACCAAAATGCTCTGGCAAAACATTCTGTATCATTCAAAGCATACTGGATTCAACATGTTCTGTGGCACCTGGCTCAGTTGTGGAGTATTCCAGATTGGGGCCTGACGTTTCAGTTGGGGAGAACTGCATTATTAGTGGTTCCCACATCATAACAAAAGCTCCCCTGCCTGCATATTCTTTTGTGTGTTCCTTAAGCTTGAAGATGAATAGATGCTTAAAGTATTCCACTATGGCATTTGGAGTGCAAGACAACTTGAAAAAGAGTGTGAAAACATTGTCAGATATAAAGTTTCTTCAATTCTTTGGAGTCTGTTTTCTGTCATGCTTAGATGTTTGGAATCTTAAAGTTACAGAGGAACTGTTCTCTGGTAATAAGACGTGTCTGAGTTTGTGGACTGCACGCATTTTCCCAGTTTGTTCTTCTTTGAGTGATTCAGTTACAGCATCCCTACGGATGTTAAATGCTGTTAAGAATAAGTCAGCATTCAGCCTGAATAGCTATAGGTTGTTGTCCATTGAAGAAATGCTTATCTACAAAGACGTAGAAGATATGATAACTTACAGGGAGCAGATTTTTCTAGAAGTCAGTTTAAAAAGCAATTTGATTTAGAGATTTTTAAACATTGTACACTTTGCCTTTTTGAGTAACATTCCAGAGATGGTATTTTCTGTAGGCTGTTTGTTTCACTGAACTTAATTAATGAAAATTGTCTTAACATAATTGCTATAGATAATGTCAATAGCACAAAAGTACATATAAATCATATTTAATGAAGACTCTTTCAAGACTAAGTTGAGAAAAGTGATACTTTTTTGGATGTATATCACTGTTTTAGTTTTTAATAATGATGGATTTATGGAGCATTGTTTTTTCACATAATTAGTATAAAAGGTAATTTTCTAAGAATACCTTGGGAGAATTTTTCCATCTTTTTTGAGGCTTTTGATCCAATAAAGTTATAAGTATTCATTGGCAATTCTCTCCTCAACTGTAATTCTATTTTGACTAATAAAAATGGCCTACTATAGGGTCTCCCGAGTACTGTAGGAATACAGTAAAAATGCTTTGTCAGAAACAAATCCATAGCTGACAAATTCATTCAGTGCCCAATATATTGTGATTATTTTAGTTGATAAATAGCTAGATACAGAGACCTCTGAAATTGATGATAAAATTTGTATCTCATTGATTTTATTAAAATGAAACTAAAAGTACACATGTATGATACCCTTGAACATGTGTTTGTGTATCTTTAAAATTTTCCCTTATGTTCCATTCCATAGCAAAACACACTCATATGCACACAAAACTCAGTTTATCTGTGGGGAAAGTGGTAGTAATAGTTGAGATTCATGAATAATCATATAATTTCACTATGGACATTACTTTCATTATCTTCTATCAGTGCTTCTAACAAAATTTAAATTACCAAATGAACTGACTTTACTTTTCATCTTGTTTTTTATCCACACACTGGTGTTGCTGAGAAGCAAACAATTGGCCCAAATGCAGACATCAAGACTCAGGCAGAAAAATGGAAAAACTGAGATAATGCACAGATGATAAACACTTCCAAGAAAATAAAAATTGGCTGAAATCTCAAGTTATATGTTTCTATATTGGTATAAGCACATAAGTGAAAAGTCTTCATACTGAAGTGTAATAAAGATTTGTCAGCGTGTTTTTTTAATGAAATAACTAGTCTGTGCTACTTTTATTTGTATGTTAACATGTCAGTATAAAAATTGCCAAACTAGAACTAACTTGTCTATTACCTTCAGTTATGATACTTGTGTGGATTTTTTTTTTTTCAAGGTTTTTCCCAAGGAGAAGATACAAAGATATGGTAGCTATTGTTTATAAATAATTGATTTACTTGCAGATTTTTCAGAGGATGTTATGTGTTTGGCATTCATTAAATGTTCAAAATTTTAGTTTTACCAAATCTGAAGTGCCACCAGTTAAAAGAATCACAGTATTTTATGTTCCATTAAGCAAAACACAATAAAATATGACATAATACTTTCTTTGTTACTTGAAATTTTCATATTTATATGAGATCTCTTTTAGATGTTTTAAATATATTTTATTTAACCCTCTTGCATATACATATAAAATAACAAAAATGAAATATTGAGATATCATAAAAACATTTCTACAGCTTCACATTCAAACTGTCCTGCAGCACTTTCAACTCAGAGTTAATGATACGCATATGTCCGTCTAGTACCATCTTCTGTGCTTTCAGAGCTACCGGTAAGGCTGCATTTCCTGAGTGCTCTAACACTACTGTCTGAATTATTTTTTTACCAAGCCCACACTCCTGCAAGTTTTGATACTCTTCTATTTGACAAAACTCAGTTTTACTTTTGCTTCAGTGTAATCATAGGTCCTTCGAACATAGGACCTGTGATTCTATTCAAAGTCAGAAAGATTTCTGACAAATTGATGTTAATGTGAAAATTAACGTGTTAATATGAAAATTATTGTTTGGTATACCCGAAGTGACCTGTCTGAAGCCCTCAATTATGGTATTTGTGTGTTTATTTTTTTTTCTTTTTCAAGGTTCTTTTTAGAGAAAATATATGGTAGCTGTTGTTTAACATTTACTTATAGAGCTTTCAGAGGATGTTACATGTTTACTAATTGCTCAATACTGTGTTTTGCCTAATCTGAATTTTAATCATAATCTTGCACAATGCATGGATTCTAGTTGCTTTGAAATGGTTCTGTTCAAAGAACTTATGAATGTCTCTTGCTTTGAGATGTATTGCTTGGTGTGTAGTAGCACAAATGTACCACAAATAGCGTACCTTATTCAACTGAAGTGGCAGTCATATACACAGATATGACCAAGTTCACATGTGAGCAAGTACAACTCCATGACTATTATGCCAGGCTAATAGCTATTACACTAATATTTGTAAGGCATATTCCATTTTCTGGCATGTCGAAATGTGGAGAAAAAAAGATGAATTAGGAAATGATTCTAACCTAAGTGTGTATTTTAATAAAAGGACCTAGGCAAAAAAAAAAAAGTAAGTCACTCTTAAATGTAATCCCTGAATGTAGTGTACATGATGATAGGGGAGAAGTGTATTTTTGATAAGAAGTGACTAAATTTTGTGACAATCTTTATTTTTCAGGCTTTTCACTTAGTCTGTATCAGCAATAAAAAAATAAGACCTGCATTTATAAGTTTGAAAATAAACATTTTGTCTCCCTTTATAATTTTCATTTTTATAAAATCATGGCACTTACATATACTCAGGTGTGTAAAAGCCTACTATTGTTTGTAGCTGTAATCCATAAACTTATTGATGTTAATTACCAACAACAAGAGCATGAGAAAAATTGAACAATAATAATCTTTTACCTTAGACATTTATTCTCTAAGCAAAACAGAAATAAAGGATATGTATCAGTGTGTACTCAGTTGAAATAAAGCTTTGAAAATCCAAATGATATTTTAAAATTGTTCAAAAGTTTGATGGCATGAATCCAGGATTAATTCCCACAACCTGTGATGATCTAGTCATCTTCTGTAGCTACAAGTACTAGTGTTAAGGTTACCAAATTTAGCAATGAAGCCAAAATCATAACCGCCTGCTGTCACATACAGCTTTTAAGTAAACTACACAAAATCAGAGTTTCCGTTTACATGCTCCATGATGCCATCTGGACTTGAGCACCTTGGAGGCTCAAGATTAAGGCACCTCAATATAGCCTGGCAGAATTACAATGGAGAGAAGTGAAAACTGTCATTAGTAGCTAAAACCAGCTGAAGGATTTCAGATGCTCTTTTTCTTGTTCATCTAAATCAAGTCTTCATCTGTGTTAAGAACTAAATTGTTAAAGACCTTTTTAATTTGTTTAGTGCAAGAAAAATAATAACCATTATCTACTTAGTTAACATGAGTGTTCTGTGCCTCTAAAATTTTGTTTAAACAAAGACTGTTTCGATTGAGGTTAAGGAACACAACTTCTGATACTTACTAAAATTGTATTATTAACATTTCTTGCATTGAACTTTGTCATATTTCTCTTCTTCTAATACTAGTGTGCCAAATTCTGTAACATAATAGTGTTCTTCATGCTCCTATTTATCTGTATATACAGAAACTTCTGCTTAGGTTTTTTTTTATACATAATGAAAGGCTAGTTACACCAGTTGACTGAAAAATATCAGTTCTGTCCCTGGAAGAGCTGTCTACATGAGCCACAACAAACCGAACTTGCAACATCATTCAAACTTGCCAATTTGGCTGTAGTTTAGTGGACGACAACTTTGGGTCAGGTTAATTTTTGGAGAAATGGAATAATAAAAGTTGCTGATTTTCATACTGTATTGGAAGTAGGCATATCAGCAGCTTTGGGGGATTGGAGGTGTGGAGGGAAGATGCCTGCAAATGAGTCACTATTATCAACTATCTGCAAAGCAGCTAGATGATTGACACTTATGTCTAAAGATGTTCATCCCAAAAGCGTTATTGTTCATACAAGTAACTGATTGAAACTAACAGAGTTAATGTGTTATTTTGGGCTGCTTGGACAAATAGTCTGTCTTTTTGAAGCCTCTGGCTGCAGGGATCTCTTAGCCATCGCACAAATAAATTTCAACCATTCAGACAGAGCAATTCATTTCTGATTGCTGTGGACTAGTGCAATCCATCTGCTAGTGTCATTTACTAGCTATCTGTGCCAGAATTATACTCCTTCAATTGTGCTTCAGTGCATTTCTGAAACAATCTAAACTAAAATGTCTATATTCTTTGGCCACTGGCTTATGGTGTGTTACTGATATGCTTATGATTTGTTACTGAATCCCCAGCCTCCTTAAATACTTTTTAAAATCTTTGTTGCAACCAACACATCGTGGTTAAGTAATCTGCGCATGTGAATGATTTTTTAAAATTTCTTTTCTTACCAGTATCCACTCTTTTCTCTCTTCAGCACATTCAGATGGTTCAAGTGAGTTTTAATTTACCACTTCCTTGTAGGAGAGTGTCACATTGCCCAGAATAGAATTAAAGCATTTACATCTTGAGGCGAAAAATCTTTTAAAATACAACTATGTCAAAATCAAGTTAAGTGTTCGTTTCGTTTGTAGGTTTAGAAATGTTGCACTGCTTAATGAAGTTTTACGTGAGTGGTTTCTTTCCTATTATTTTTAGCCTTGGGGTTTGAGAAAGTAAATTATGTCCATCAATATGCTGTTCTTTAGAGAAGTTTCAAATATTTCTAGAACTAGAAAACTTGGACTACACAAAGAAATAATTATGATTATAACAAGTGGCCCAAGTGCAGATTTTAAACGTACAGGCACACTGAAAAAGTCATAAATTAAAAATTCACTAATTATATGTCACTGGGATCAATCTTTAATGAAATTGAATAAGAAAGATCATCACTCATGATAACTGATTAAAATTGATAAAGCTTCTAATTAAGCATTATCCAGTCAAATCAAGAGCTGTCTCTGGAAGCCAGCCTATGAGAAAGGAAGGAGAAAGTTTTAGAGTAATTCTTTTTTACGTGTTGCAACACCTGATGCTTAAATACAAAAGAAATACGTACCATGAGTTTAGTGAGAAGAAACAATTAACAATATTAGCCATATTTCTTGTGTCTTCAATTATGTATCTCCAGACTACAATCATGCTGCAATTTTCCATAACATAAAAATAAATAAAAATAAAAACAATAATTCTGTTAGCCATATTATTTCATCAGGATATAATCAGTCTAGTTTCATCTACAATGAAACCAAAGTTGTCTAGCCATCATAACATACCCAACACTGAATTCTAGATTCAGATGTTTACCTTCCTGCTTCATATCCCTCCCTTACTGGAAAAAATTGAATGGACATCTCCATTTGGAGAGCTCTGATCTTCTCTCTGTCTACTAAGAGAATCTTTCATCTAGATAAATGACATAGCCATTCACCAAATTGGCAAAAACCAAGAAGTTTTCCAAGACTCCTCAGTACTTCCCCTCATTCTCTTCATCCTGTTTTTCAACAACTGAAGTTTGTATATCAAAAACACAACCAAAATCCATCCACCTCTCTCAACTTACTGAGCTACCACTGTTTTCTAGACTAATGCAATAGTTTTGTTTTTACATCCCACAACACCTTATTGAATGCAGTAATAATAATAATCTGACTTTTATAAATGCACATGAAGGCAAAGTTGCAGAAAGTCTGCAAAGGAAAGATTTTAAAAGATTGGCATTGAAGTATATGAGACATTGAAAGGGAAAGGAATACTGTGGCCATCTCAACCTGCTTCACTAATTTGGTACTGTTTTTGTATCCCATTTTGCTCCTCTGAAGATGACCTTTTAGAACAAAGATTCATCCTACTTTCTAACCTTCTACACTTTATTTTCTCCATGAAGTTCTGCCTGGTGATAGTCTGCAATCTCTTTACTACCCACATTGTTGTTTTTTACCTTTTACATATTTGCTGTGTGCAATCAGGTGTCAGCTAGAATTTTGCTTTCCCTTTAGATGTAGGTAACATTAGTTGAACCTCTATTCTAAACCCCACAGATGTCAAAAACTTCTCTCAAATATCTGTGAAATTTCTGGAGATCACATATCTTCATAATTACTTTGAGTTGTAAGCTTCCATTTCTGGTGAGTTAGTTCTGTTTGGGCTTGCATGTGATTTTCTCACAATTCTATGAGCTGAGTGCCTATTTTTCACTATGTGAGTCTCAAACTTTTTCCCACATTTATGACATCACCCTATCCCTCTGGAGAAAGCCCTCTGACACAAATTTTATATGTAGCAAGTTTCTCTGAATCATTGGAGCTATGAAGGAAGGTGCTGGAAGGAAACAGAAGCATACATCTAAGAGGAACGAAAACACAGCATTAGGTAATAATTGTTCTTAGAAATTCTTTGGATCCTCATCACCAGGAATTTCTTCATTAGCTATTTTTTATAAGCCAAAATTATCTTTAGCTTTTTTCTCTTTCTCAGACCAATTTCTTCCATTCCCATATGATATATGTACACATTGTCTATATGATAGACATATAGCATTTATCTCTGCTTTCTCTTGTGTCATTAGTTTCGCTCCTTTAATGAATTATTCTCATCAGTACACAAATACTCTGTGATCTTTCCAATCAAAAAAAACTCTTGACTACACTTCCTTCAGGTATGACTTTATTTATTTCCTTCCTTTACACTAAAATTTTTAGAATATGGTGTCTATTCTTCCATTCTTCAGTTCCAATCTTCCTATTCACTCTTCAACCCAATTCAGGCTTTTAGTACCCCTCTTCATCACCACTACTCCATTAAAGTTGTTCTTCTGAAGATTTATAGCACTCTCAATTTTGCTAAACTAGTGGTCATTCTTGCTCTCATCTTCTTGCCCTTTAAACAGCATTTATCTCAATGGATTACTTCTTCTTTGACTTGTATTCTTTACCTGGATTCAAGGAATTCCCCATTACTGGCTTTTTTTCTAACTTATTAGTCACTCATTTCAAGTCTCTTTAACTGATTTCTCCTCATCTTCCTCACTTCATATCACTAGAATCCCACAGATATTTGTGTTTTAATTTCTTGATCCACATTCACTCCTTTGGAATCCATTCTCATAGCACCTATGTGTTATCAATTCTCAAATTTGTATTTCTCATCAAACTATAACTCAAATTGTTAAAATATGAATCCATAAATTGTGAACATATGTCAGAATTTAATTCATTAATGAGGAAACAAGTAGGATTATGAAGTTGATTTTATATTGTTCCAGATACTACAAAAAAGAAACTTTATAAGCAACATTATAAAGAACTTTGTCCAATAATATAGTACATTTTCTTATGAGATAATAGGCTTAAGCAAAAAGTCCAAAAACAATTTAGCAAGAGTTTTCTTAAGAAGTTCTTATTTTAGATAAGAGGTAGGATTGAGGCAGGAAAATAAGGTCTGGAGGCAGGAAGTATAAGGCAGATTCACACTTAAGCTATGACAGGAAATATTCTTTCCATAGGGTGTATGCAGAGTAAATGACTTTGTAACTTTACTTCATTCTCTCCATTTATATAGGCCATACACCAAGTAACCAATGGAAAACCTTAGAGAACATTTAAACCCCCCAAAATTCTGTAATGGCGTCCTTGAGCCCCTATGCTCGGGCCCACTCCTACACTGCAGAGTGTAGTTTCATTTTGAATGCATTGCTTCATTATTTCCTCACTTTGTGCATTTGTCCAATTGTTTGTTCAAAATGCCAAGAACTGGGTCACCCTCCACTGGTAACAGTGTTAGATGATGACTGTGGGTCAGGTTTCCTGAAAACCAGAATCTGAGATGTACTTTAGAATGCACAATGTTTTTAAGGCTGGTCTGTGGCATTAATACTTGTACAAGAAAGGGGAGAGAGCAAAACAGAGCAGAAGAAAATGAAGCTGAGATGCAATCTCAAAGACAGCCTTATTTGGCTAATCCCAAGAGGAGCTCTGGATACTAAAATAGCACTTCAGTATTTCCCAAGTTGAACCTGATTGGCCAGGATTGATACTACACATCAATCATCTTTTCTCAGGTGCCCAGTTGATAAAGGATACAATGGACAAGATATCTCTTTATGAAGGGGGCAATCTGTGATAGGGGCTGACCAATGAAAGCTGTGTACTGACAGCACTCCCAATAGCTGAGGTAACAAGCCCTTCACTGAAGAAGTGATATGAGTCCCATCACAGTGTCCACAAACAAAGTCCAACTCAATTCCAAGATTCAGTTTCTATATGTAACTATTTTAATGATACATTGTTATGTTTTAATTCAATTTGAATTATGACTTCTAAACTAATCATGTAATATTGTACATATTTTAAATGTACTGAATCCAAGAAGAAACTATACTTTAGTAGATCTGTCAGTCATCAATTTACAGAAGCTTTTTTTTTCTGTAATACTGTCACAAATCTACATGATAATCCCTAGTGCCAGATTTTACTTTTGACTAGCTGAGCAAGCTAAAATATTCATAAATTCACATGAAGCCAGATGGCTTCCCACTGAATATGCATTTGAATGATTCCTGTACATTATTTATTCCAAGAAGTGCACAAAATATACCGTCATCATAGCAGAGACCCCTAATAAGTTTGTTTCAGAAAGGAATCAAGGAATAACAGGTATCCAGTGCTAACTATATTTTGCACTGAACCATGATTCTGTGTATTTTCCAAAATTACTAAGCAGACTTAATTTAGTTATTTTCTATTAGTCTCTGAAATATAAGGAATCAAATAAGGAAGTGTTTAGCAAGAATGACTAGCATTTGGGAAAAAGGAGGATTTAACTTAGCAAGCATAACTTCTTAATTTGCTTAGTTCTCTAAAATTCAAATGTGCAACATAAAGTATTAACCATTTTTGTTAAGTTGATCAGTGTCTTTTTAGGAGTACTTTTATTTTCAGGTTGAATTCACAGATGTGAATTTGAAATGAAAATATAACTTAATCGTTAAAAGGTTTTTTTTCTCCAACATATTTGGAAAGAGAAGAAATGAAAATAGTATTTTTTTCTTTTTTAATTTATAGAGATTTCCTTTTATTTAAATCTGCTATGTCTCTTTTGAAAGTTTCCTATTCTC